AGTTTGTGTATGTTAGACGGTGATTTGGCTTTTGTAAGAGGAAATAGACGATTCGGGTCAGGTTTGTACCCTTTACTATCAACTAAGTGTCCAAGACATTCAAAATGAGAGACAGAAAATAAACACTTCTTAGGATTAATAGCAACATTCTTATCAGAAAATCTACGAAAGAGTTCAAGCAATCGTGCGTCATGANTGAACTTGTCAGGAGCATGAACAATAATGTCATTTTGATATACTTCAAAATCAGACTTACCAATAGTAACATAATTCATAACTTGTTGAAATATGGCAGGAGAAACAGATAAACCGAATGGCTGAAACTTGTATCTGTACAAACCAAAAGGGATATTAATAGTTGTCAAAGTGGATGATATTTCATCCAACGGAATTTGTAAATATGCATCTTTCAAGTCAATCTCGGAAAAGATCTTAGAACCAGTCAACTTATTCAGAATGTCCTCTGGTTCAATCGTTGTACATGTCCGCTTTAACAGTCTTGGATTTAAGGTGATTCGGTAGTCACCACATATTCTGGGGGTCTTGCCATCCGACTTGAGTGGTGTGACAATTGGTGTACCCCATGCAGAAAATGACATCTTTACAATACACAAGTTGTTCAATGCATTCATGACAGGTTCACGAAGGCCATATGAAATGACTCGGCGTTTGAGAAATACTGGATCGCCATTAACTGGTAGTCTTACTGGGGGAATTTTCATGCCACCACTGGCCTTTGAGCATTTAATAATCAAATCCTTCGATTCATTTTCAGTATCGATAGAGGTTAGTAATGAAATATTGACATTTAATGCTTGCATGGCTTTCAAGCCTAGTATGGATGGGCCAATGAATGTACAGGTAACACTTTTAGAATGTTCATCACTGATTGAAATCTCACAAGAACCAACAACAGGCAATGAGTGTCCAGTGATGCCATTTATGGTGACAGTGGACGGCTGAAGTTTAGCATCTGGAGCAAACAGTTTTAGATCGTGAACAGAAATTGGAGATTCCACACTACCAGCGTCCAAAATGAAATGAAGCGAGTTACCAGTGGAACTGAATAGTTGTTTACGAATGTGACCGGAATGGAAGGTAATTGCCAAAGATAAAGAAGAAAAATGTTTGTCCATATCACTCACTTCTGAGTCCCGAGATTGAATTAAACGACAGGCTTTGGTACTGCGACAAACAGACTGAATATGGCCAGTTTTGCCACACTTGTGACATGAAGCGTAACGAAATCGACATGTGAATCTGGAATGACGTTTGCCACAGGATGCACAATTGCCATAGGATTTATCCGAATATGTCACATTGTGTGGGGTAGATTGTGTAACCTGTTTGAAACGTCCGGCTGTAGCATGAGCTTTCGTGGATTTAGTCTTGAGTGAATTGAATATGGCTGTAGATTCGATGGTGGACGGCATGGATGAAATAGCGGCGCGAGTGTCCTGATATTGTTCACAATAAGCTCGCACATCTTTGAAAGTCGGATTGGATCGCTTCATAAGTTCATTTGGCAAAACGGTATTGTTAACGCCAGCGATCAGTCAATCTTTCAGTTGCATGTCCAGTAAATCTCCAAAATCACACTTTGCAGCTTGAGTGAGCAAATCCAGGGTGAATTCACAGATGCCCTGATTCAGATTGCGTACCATTGAATGAAATTTTGCTCGCTCTGAGGCTTCAAAGTTCGTTGGCTTCACATGCTGTAGGAGGAGGGATTTTAAATCATCTTACGGTACAGAAACAGGTGGAGAAGGATAAGCCAAGTTCTTGATTAGTGTGTAAGCATTTTTACCGGCAGCATTCAAAAAGAAAGTGCATTTCTTTTCCTCATCGGGGTTTGAACGGGTCAACCACCAAATCTCAAAACGTTCAAAATAATCCTCGATATCGCGTGCACTGCAGTTAAGATCAAGGGGTTCTAGTGGAGTAGAATTCATTATTCAGTAGACCGTCCGCGACGCCAAACGTAGTATTGGGAATAGTATTCGAAATGGGGTTCCAGAATTCACGCAGTACCAATCCCCGAAATAGAACAACTTCGAATCGAATAGCACACGAACTTTATTCGAATCGTATAATATGCATCTTCAATGCATTTAAAGTGTACAAGGATTTCGAGGTCAGTGTCACACATCACATTAACACATATTACATTCCAACAGCCATGAGAACACAAAACACAACCAAATGCAGCATATGGAATTTTGTTCATCACTGTTACAGTTCAATTCGTGTCAGCACCCTATGGGACAAAAAAAGCATCTGCTTGTTAGTAATGCCCATAATAAAACTTTGGCTTTGACTTTGAATAACTTTCACATATACAGTGTGCTTTGTGGTATCTAATTGCTAACATGAATGAATTATCATGAATAATAAGGTGCTATGTTCATTTTGTAAACGTCTGCAGGAAACGGTGACGGTTAGCCGTACTAAAACCATCATGGCAGACAAACAGACTGTGCCCCAAAACTAAGGGTGAATTAAAACAAAGCGAAAAATTTTGTTGATCAAAAGAAAATAGAAGAAACCGATTACCATAATTGAGAATATAATAATTTATTATATAATTGTGCACAACTGAAATGGAGAAAAGACAAGCTTCAGAAAAAACGCGAAAGTGGGAGCGTTTGTAGGTCTGCCGGGGGAAGCCATAGGTGATCGCTTAGGGCTACCACGTGACCGGCTGTGCTACCGGTGGAATCGTTGAATAGGCTCTGACGTGGCCTTTTTAACCCTGTCTGGACAAACTGCGATAGCTGTAAGTTGAACGGCAATCACGTTGGACGGGTCGGGTGTGTCAGCTATGGTAGAGCAGTTAAAGGAGCTGTCTTGCGGGCAAAAGACCAAAGCGTTGTCGGCTAATTCGGCCGTAGCGCTGAGGGGGCAGCCGAAGCATGGTGCAGAACCATACAGACAGCCTTCGGGAGTTTTTGGAACCCAGACCTGACGAAGTAAGCTGTCTTCGACCTTGAATGCAGCTGGCTCTTGCAGCATGTTGTGCAAGAGTTGCGAAAGCTTAAGGGAGCCCAGAGTCATTCCCTGAACCACGTTCCTGATTTTTTCCTGGGGTTAATCAACCGATACGATTTAAGACGGCTTCCCGAAGAATCTCACAGGGATGCTCCTCTGGAGCAGGATTTACGACGTCAGAGACTAACTCAGGAACATCTAAAGATAANAATTTAGAATCAGACTGGTTGATACCCCGGGTAGAGAAATGAAATTCGACCACTGAAAACCACAAGGAGGGTTTTTATTATAAAAAAAAAGCGGACAGGTGAAAGTTACCGCGTTAAGGACTATCCGGTGTTGCTTAATAAGAGTGATTTTCCTTGATTCGGCCACGATTTGGATATGACATTCTAAATATAGTCAAAATAGAACCGTACCAATAATTTCTTACAAGTACCCAAATCGAGCGAGAGGGAAAAATATTTTTTAAAAACGTTAATTGCACCCCGCGTAGCNGCAAAAAATAGATACATAAATCGAGAAAAATAACAAGGGTGGTTAATGAAAATGAAAATTCGTAAAAATGTACCGCTAACCAAAAAAATGGAACGGGCTCATCAGTTTAGAGGTGGAGGTGCTCTCTCACGACCTGTGAAAGCTCTCCGGTTTCTAATTTCCCGTGCTTCTCTATATCCCGGTAGGTAGCACGAAGAACAACCGATTAGTCAAGGGAAATATATTGTTCCCTTAAACGTACTGGACGTTTAGCCTGAGTACTCTGATGACTGTCTGAAAGCGAACAGCTTAGCAAGCAAAGGTGTAGCACTGAACCCACCCAACGTTTAAAGCGAAGTTACTTCAGTGGAGGTGCCAGTGACTTAAACAAAGCTGAAAGACCTAGCTAAAGAAGCAGTCGCAGGATATCGACGATCCTGGCGGAATCTATGCTGCAAAGGAGAAGGATGCATGAGCAAATACACCAAGCCACTAATGCCTGCAACCATGCGAAAGCATACTTGCGAATCAGGCAGACCAAAGATGATGACAACTCTCCAACATGTTGCATTGTCGGTCTAAAGCCACTACAATGTGGTTTAGTTTTACCCGCTTGTCCGTTTGACGGTTTCTACGCAAATTTATTCTTCTGCGCGAATATGCCGGGAGTCATAGTATTACCTTTGATCATTTAATCAATACTGCGATTAGGTTGGGTCAGGTATCCCAGGACTGAATACGGCCACGGCCAACTGAGCGTCCAGATTTCCTTCGATGGCATACTCACTACTTGAGCACCCAGCTCTGCATTCACTGCTAATATACAGGGCAGAGAACCCAACCGAACCCCGAGTAAGGATAGCTATCAGTTCCCCGAAAGATCCCCCATGTACACCCTTGATGGAGGATTGATTGAACTGTGCCAAACACACGCTGTCTTACGGTCTCTCTTCTTGCTGCCGTGTATCGAACGAAAACGTGGTGTATGCTAGCTTCATTATTTGTGTATCGAGTAGTAAACTGCGACTGTTGTTCTCAACGTTTCAGACCTGTTTTGATCAGTGTGAGTGTGTGGACCGAATCTTATTTACGCATTGCAAATATATCAACAGTGTGATTGTATATCAGCGGAAAAGATGGGTTTCGGCGTATCACGTGCGAGGAAAATGCTGTAAACTGCTGGGATGCTCACAAGTTATCGATTGTCAATGGTTTTATCCGCTTTCCAGGAACACATTTCCGATAACATCCAGTACAACATAGCCTGGTGCACAATGCTTCTCAGTCCTCCGGATCAAATACCTATTGTTCTGTAAGCGTCGGTTGCTTAATTAGAACAGATTTTCCAGGTGACTTGTAATGATGATTTACAAGTATCGTTGAATTCCTCCAATCCAGTAGAAAACACCGCTCAAATAATAACCACTCAATGCGAGCACGCGATGTTCCAATTTGATAAAAACTGTGGGCCATCAAAGGAATGAAGTTAATTCAATACTTTTTCGCCTTGGATAGTTGCTGGAAACAAAATGAATGTTAGATGTGAATGCGTGCAGCATATTAACAGCTCTGTGGTAAAAATCTCCTTCCCGAGGGTTTGCTGCACACATTATTTATCAGCGATAATATGAAGCAGCAGTGTGTGTACAGCTACACAGCCATTACTAACAGTAGGTCTTTCAGACTGGTATTATCTGGTTGTTGTTAGCAAAACCTAAGCACTTACTACCCTACTTCTACTTAGCCACTGACCGAATTCCCACATCTGCCAATGTTGGTTTTATAGGCCCATGATTACACACAACATTCAGGTCGAAAGCAGCTGCCGTGAATAATTGAACGACCACACCGATTACTGCTGACGAAACCGTTTGATGTTGATTCCTTCCGTGCAAAATCAGCAAGTTCGGCAAATATTCGACAGTATTGTGCTCTACTTTGTCTGTTTCCTTTCTACTTTATGGTGAAATTTAAATTTACCAATGCACATGTGAAACGTCCAATGATAAAATGTTTTTAGTTCATGAAAACTAAACCCATGAATAATTAGTCCAGATTGATAAAGTGAGTTTTCTTTGTTGACAAAGTATTGAAAATCGGTTTTCGTAGCTCGGGTGAACTGAATTCTATTTCCTCTGTTAGCCAAGTTTGACTGTTTGTTTGCAGACGTTCATCACCAGCCGAGGTGACATCATCAATGCTTGTGAAGTGAATTGAGTTTTCTCTGGTCTTAGGTACGGTTTTCGCAGTGCAGATGTGTTAGAGATGGATACGTAAGTATTCATTTTAATAGAGATGACAATCAATACACGGTGCAGTGTTTCTATGCTTATGTTGGAGTCCCAAAACAAATCTTCATTTTGTATTTATTCTCTGAATCTTAGTGGTGTATTATCAACAATACAACTATACTAGCTTTGCGTCATGTGACGTTGCCATAAAACTAACTACATGGACCACTCCACGTAGTTTGGAGAAAATAATTGGGTCTCACAATCCACACAACTTTACTAACACGAACATATTTAGCTGAACGGGAAACGAGATCGAGGGATTGTTTTTAAACAAAGTTTCTTTCAGAAAAATAGCTCACAGGGGCAAAAATAACAAAAAAAAGAAATACATTGATGCATACACACAATTGGGACGGAAAGCGCCGAAGCCAATCGTTACGCCAAAACTTGGTCACTGTTCTAGATCTATGTGAGCTCGTGGCTATGAAAACGTTGATAAAAGTGCTGGCGGAAATGTTGGAGTTTCGCACACTACCAAATGCGACTAGAACGAAAGTGCTTTGAGAAGAACCCTAATTGCAAAAGTGGAATAATAAATTGCCATAGGAGTATGCACATCTGGTGGGTGACAAAACCACTGGAGACCATCAAGAGTGCCTGGTGCCTCTTAATAATCGAATGGGCTAATCCAAGCTTGGTACTCTACACTGGAGTTATTCTTTGAAAAGTTCGTCTGTTCATTCACATACTATTTCCCCTCGCACCAGTAGTACATATCCACCATCGCATCCCGGGTGTGAACTCCTAACTGAACT